CCTTGATGTCATCCTGTTCATGGAGCTAAGGAGCAGAGATACTAGAAGTCAAACATGAAAAGCTAATAAAATGCTAGGCAACAAAGAAAAAAAACACATTTGTGAAAGCAGAACCTCTCAACCTGAAAGCAAACCTGAATCTCCTGAGAAGTCTTTTTTAAATTGTCATATCAATTAAATCAGAATCTTTAGAAATTGAGTTCCTGCGTTTTAAAAATTCACCAGATGATTCTATTTAAGAGAGAGGAATAAAAAGCATTGCAATAGACAATATCAAGCAAACAATGTTATTCAGGTTGAATGCATCCAAACGAGAATTGTGTTCCAAACCAAGAGTCAGCTCCAAAGGAAATTAGAACATAAATCTGATAATTTTTAACTCCAGAATACAAAGATGACAAATTTTAGTAACCAAGTTACCAAGAAATTATCTCAGGGGTTGATTGCTACTGAGATAGTGAAAGAAAAAAAAGCAAAAATCCTCCTTAGTGCCCTTACTCTTCAAAGGCCATTAAAACAAATAGCTAATACCATCAAGAAGTGGAGCAATGAAAAAAAAATGTTTCCAGAATACATCTGTTGTTATTTGGATGCTGTTACCAGCCTCAAAGTGAAAAGCCTTGGAAATAACTATATAAGCATTTTTAAGGCATTCATCTAAATTCAGGTCACAAAAAACAAACAACAACAACAAAAAACCCGAGGTGAATTTGTTAATAAGACTTATTTTTTAGCCTGAATAACTTGGAGGAAACTTTAGTGATCTTGAACTTTCACAAAAAGGTTTCTCAACTTTTTGATGACCCTCACAATCACCAATCTGAGACTGAATCAACAATGAGAAACTGAAAATAACCATTGTGGATGGAGATATAAGAAATATATTACAGTCTGGGACTGGTTTGACTCAGTGGATTGAGCACCAACCTGTACACCAAAAGGTTGCCAGCTGGATTCCCAGTCATGGCACATGCCTGTGTTGTGGGCCAGGTCCCCATTAGGGAGCACTCAAGAGGCAACCACACACTGATGTTTCTCTCCCTCTCTCCCGCCCTTCCCCTCTGTCTAAAAAATAAATTTAAAAAATAGAAATATATTACGGACAAACAAGAAGGTATACGGAATAACAAATACCAGTATACCCACTGCCTACCTTAAGATAAAAAACAGGAAAAATACAATTAACATCTTTTGTGTTCTTCCTCTCCCATTCTTTCTTTCATCCTTACAAGCCCCCTACAAATGAATGGAACTATCCTAAATTCAGTGTTTCTTATTTCCATGAATATTTTTATAATTTAACCATATATGTGTAACTCTTCTAACAATATATAGTATGGTTTGTTTTATATTAAAATTTTATAAAATTGTATTGTAATATACAAGTCTCAAACATACATTTGCTTTTTTCAATACTATATTACATGGTTTACCCATGTGTATATTTAATTTATTTTAACTGCTATATAGCAGTTAGATCATACCACAATTTGTCCACTGTCATACTACAAACATGCTAAAATATATTTTCTCATAGGTAACTTCTGAATAGTGGCAGGAGTTTCTCCAGACAGTGTTTCTGGGCTTTAATATATGTAAATCACTTCAAAATCATATTAAAATTTAGGTTCTGATTCGACAGGTCTGTGATTGAGTCTAATAGTCTAGATTTCTAATACATTCCCAGTCTAAACTGTTCAATATGGTAGTAACTAACCACATGTACCTATTTAAGTTTAAATAAATTTTTTTAAATTAAAAATATACTTCATTCACACCAACCATACTTCAAGTACTCAAGAGTTTTTGAACAGCACAGAGAATATTTCCATCATCTCAGAAATTTGGACTGTTGGATAGCACTGTTCTAGGGTCTTGCTAGTTGTCTGGGGACCACCATCAACATCACCAGGCAGCTCTCTAGAAATGCAGAATTTTAGGCTCCACCTGGTCAATCAAATGTATTTAAATCTAGGACTTCATCATGTCTTTAAAAATGACTTGGTCACCACTGCAGGAAATATTTATAGATAAAACTATATTATATCTACTTTTTGCCTCCAAATAATATGGCAGAGAATGCTGGTGAGATTGGAAAAAATAATATTGATATGAGCTGGTAATTGTTGAAACTGGGTAATGATGGTACAAAGGTATAAACTATAGATATTCTGTCTTTTATATATATCTCAAATGTTACAAAATGAAGAGTTAAAAGGATTCAGTTTTACTTTGAAGTATTTTCAAAAAGCTTCTGAAAAAAATCTGTAATAAAGAATGTTGAAAGCAAAAAAATTAACATGAATGATAAGAATCCCAGTTCCAATGCTATTATACCTAAACTAGAGTTAAGTATTTAAATAATCAGAAAGGCAATGGATTTATTATTCAAAACATTATGATAGCAGATGTAGACTAAGCTATGCACAGAAACTGAACAGAATTCAAAATAATCAAAACTATATTTTAAAATATTCTTTATAAAAATTCAGAATTTGTGAGTCATTTTGTTTCATAATATTTTAATGGCAGACTAAATTAAAATCCAACATTCTAGTACAGTGAGTCCTAAACAAAATGACAAAGGAGATCATGTCTGACTTCAGTTCCAGCCACACATTTCACTGTCTGTTACCCTTTAAAGATATCCAGGATGTTCTTCATCTTTCCCTTACAAAAAATTATCTTTGAGGGAATCATATAATAAACACATTCACACCAAACTGTAAATGACTCAAATGATTTACCCCCTGGTCGCCTGAGTGCAATCGTACACTTAAGTAACTAACCAAGCAGAATTCTCCAACATGTAGATTTGAGTAAATTATCAACTACCAATAAAACATAATAACTTAAAACATTGCTTATCAGTAAAGACCTAATACCAAAAGATTCACCTAAAAAAGAAATTAGGGAGAAAAGATAGGGAAAACATATTTTATTGTACTATAAATTCACCTTTCTTAAATGAGATTTATTTTAACAATTAAATGCTATTAAAACATAGCATTGTGATAAATGTAGAATTTCTAATAAGAATACATTGCAACTCATTTTTTATATAGTAAACTTAATCTAAGAAGAGAATTTGAGGTAATCATTTTGATTTTAGAAAGTAATACTTCTTCAAGACCCCAGGAAAAATCTAAATTAATGTTTAATATTTTCCTAAGTTTTTAATAAATCAATTAGTAAAATTTACTATAATTTATTGATAAATATCTTCCCTCATAATTTTCTTTACATTTTATTGATAAAATGGAATCAAATGTGAAAACACTTGATTGTGCTGCCATTTGTGTTGACATTTAGCTGATACCAAAGCTAAATCTGTACAACGTAAGTGTAAAAATAAAAATTTAAAAGGTAAGAAATACACTGATACCCTCCAACTTCTCAGTATGCCTCTCAAAATCTCCCCATCTGGTTTCCTGCATTTTGTTTTTAAGCCATATGAATGAATGCATGTTTAATGAATAGAACATTGCCTATCATATGGTAAGGGCTATTGATGTACCTATTTTATTATTAATACCTAGTTCACATTATTAATATTAGCTGTTTAAAAATTAGTTATTAGTATCACTGTAATTATTCCTACCATATATACTAATATTGACTATTCTACATAAACTGTTAATACATTCATCATTAATTTTACCATCCAAGCTACCATGTCCACTTTTGCTGCAAAATCCAGAGGTACTTATGCTTCAGGATTATAAAGCCAAAAGTATAGGACCCAATCTTTTCAACAAATAGTGCTGGAACAAATGGGCATCCACATACAAAAAACAAATCTAAACACAGACCTTACAGCTTTCATTAAAATTAACTCTAAATGAATCACATAACTATATGCAAAATACAAAGCTATGAAACTCTTAAAAGGTGATGTAGGAGAAAAATGAGATGATCTTGGGCATGAAGATGACTTTTAAAATACAACATCAAAGATCCATGAAAGAAATAACTGATAGCCTGGACTTTATTACAATTAAAAATTTCTGCTCTGCTAAAGAGAATGTCAAGATAACGATAAGAAAGGCCATGGGCTTGGAGAAAACATTTGCAAAAGACACATCTCATAAGGACTGTTTACCAGAATATACAAAGAATTCTTAAAACAACAATAAGGAAACAAACAATTAGTGTTTAAAAATGGGCCAAAGACCTTAACACAGAGAGATCATTAAAAAAGATACACACATGGCAAATAAGTATGAAAAACTGCTCAACATCATAAGTCATCGGGGAAATGCAGATTACATCAATAATAAGATAACACTACACACCAATTATAATGGCCAAAATCCTAAACCCTGACACCAACAAATGCTAATGACGATGTGGAGCAACAGGAATTCTCACTCATTACTGACAGGACTGCAAAATGGTACAGCTACTTTGGAAGACAGTTTGTTGGTTTCTTACAAAACTAAACACAGCTTACAATCCAGCAATTATACTCCTTCGTATTTGTTCAAAGAATTTGAGAACTTATGTCCACTCTAAATATTGCCCATAATTGTTTATAGAAACTTCATTTGTAATTGTCAGTTTTTGGAATCACCAAGACGCCCTTCAGTAGGTGAATGGAAAAATAAACTGTGGTACATACATATCACCCCTTATCATATGTATTTTTGGCAAATATCTTCTTCCATTCAGTAGGCTGTATTTTCATTTTGCAGATGGTCTCCTTGGATGTGCAAAAACTTTTAGTTTGATGTAGTCCCATTGGTTTATGTTTTTCTTTTATTTCCCTTGCCCAAGAAGATATATCAGAAAAAAATACTGCTAAGAGAAATGTTAGAGATTTTACTGCCTATGTTTTCCTTTAGGAATTTTATGGTTTCAAGTCACACATTTAATCCATTTTTAGTTTATTGTTATATATGGTATAAGAAGTTCATCTAGTTTCATTTTTTATATATCTGTCTACTTTTCCCAAAACCATTTACTAAATAGACTGTCTTTACCCCATTGTGTGTTCTTACCTCCTTTGTCATTAATTGACCCTATACTTGTGGGTTTATTTCTGGGCCTTCTCTTCTGTTCCACTGATTTGTCTGTGTTTAAGCCAGAGCCATGTTGCTTGGATTACTATAGGCTTGTAGTACATTTGATATCAGGTAGTGTGATACCTCCAACCTTGTTCTTCTTTCTCAAGATTGCTATGGCTACTCAGGCGGTCCTTCTGTGATTCTATAAAAAAAAATTTAGTAGATTATTTGTAGTAGTTCTGTGAAAAATGACACTGGTATTTTGGTAGGAATTGCATTCAATCTATAGATTGCTTTGGGTAGTATAGACATTTTACTGATATTAATTCTTCCTATCCATGAGTACAATATATGCTTCCATTTATTTGTACATTCCTCAATTTCTATCTTCAGTGTGTTACTTCCATGGTTAAATTTATTCCTAGGTAATTTTTCTTAGTTTCCCTTTCTGATAGTTTATTATTGTTATATAAAAATGACCAATTTCTGAATACTTATTTTTTAAGCTGCTATTTTACTGAATTCATTTATCAGTCCTAGTAGTTTTTCAGTGGAATCTTTAGAGTTCTCTCTATACAGTACCTGCACATAATGACAGTTTCACTTTTCTTTCCAATTTGGATGCCTTTTATTTCCTCTTCTTGTTCAACTGCTGTGGCTAGAATTTCCAATACTTTGTTGAATGAGAGTGGTGAAAATGGACATCCCTGTCTTCTTTCTGAGAATCATCTTTTCTGAATTGACCATAAAACAATAGGCTAAAACATGTAATTTAGTTATCTGGAATTAGTAGTAAAGGGCATGATTGCATATTTCATGATCAGTAAAGAAATCAATGACTCTAAATTCAAACTTTAAAGAGTGTGGCAAACAACAATGAAAGTTAAGGAACAGTTCCATAACTATGTCTTCTCTCTAGAAATCAAAGTTTCCCTTTGCTCTTTACCAGGAGACTTTGTACAATCTGTTTTGCCTTGTTTCACGGGGGGATTACAGTTTCAGCTTTCAAAAGACCCACACTAAATTCAGGGGATGAGTCACCCAAAGCAGTGACTGAAGTTTAACAAAGGTGAGCCAGTATTTTCATCCTACTTATGTACTTGATAATAAAAATAAAAGAAACTATGTTTCTGAGCAACTATATTGTTTTAATTTTAATATATATCTATTATTCTTAAGTTAAACCTAATGAAGATAAAAAAAGATGAATTGAAGAACTGAATTTTTTGGACCTGACAACCAAAATGGAGGTGTAGGTAGATACACTTTGCCTCCTTGCACATCTAAAAGGACAACAACAAATTTAAAAACAAAAAAACCACCAGAACTGCCAGGAAATAGAACTGAATGGAAGTCCAACTACCAAGAAGTTAAAGAAGAAATATTCATTCAGAATAGCAAAAGAAACATTCATTCAGGGTGGAGGCAAGCAGCTAGGGCGGAGCTGAGAGGATACACGTGACAAGGTAGCAGCTGGAGAACCAGGTAGTCCCACATTTTTATACAGATACACCAGGAGGACAAATGGGGAGTAAGACAGACTGAGCTACCCAGGGTACCAGCACAGGAAAATAAAGCCTCTAAACCTCTCACTAAAAATACCTATAGGAGTTCTGGTGGTAGGAAAAACTCCCAGCTGCACAGGAGAGTTTGTTGGAGAGACCCACAGGGTCCTAGAATGTACACAAACCCACCCACCCAGGAATCAGCACCAGAAGGGCCCAAATTTGCTTGTAGGTAGTGGGGGAAGTGACTGAAAGTTGTGGAAGAGCTGAGCAAGTGGCATTGTTTCCTCTTGGACCCCTCCCCAACAGAGAGTGACACAACACAGCCATGTGGGTTGCCCTGTCCTGGTGAATACCTAAGGCTCCACCCCTTACTACATAACAGGTGTGCCTAGACAAAAAAACATGGCCAAAATGAAGGAACAGATCAAAGCTCCCAAAACAGAACTAAGCAATAAAGAGATAGCCATCCTATCATCAGATGCAGAGTTCAAAACACTGGTAATCAGGATGCTCATAGAAATGGTTGAGTACAGCCGCAAAACAAAGGAAAAAGTGAAGGCTATGCAAAGTGAAATAAAGAAAAATATATAGAGAACCAACAGTGAAGAGAAGGAAATAGGGACTCAAATCAATGATTTGGAGCAGAAGGAAGAAATAAATATTCAACTAGGGGTTCTGGCCAAGATGGAAGTATAAGTAGAAATGCTTCACTTCCTCACACAACCAAAAGAAGGATAACAACCAGTTTTAAAGTAATAAACAACTAGAACTGCCAGAATAGCAAACTGCATGGAACTCCAACAACCAATGAGTTAAAAAACATTCATCCAGACTGGTGTGCCAACACAAAGAAATGTGGCCCAAATGAAAGAACAGATCAAAACTCCAGAATAAAAGCTAACTGACAAGGAGAAAGACAACCTATCTGATGCAGAGTTCAAAACACTGGTAATCAAGATACTCACAGAATTGACTGCGCTCAGTCACAAAATGAAGGAAGAAATGAAGGCTACATAAAGCAAAAGGATACATAAAGCAAAATATACAGGGAACTATAGTAAAGGGAAGGAAAATGGGACTCAAATCAAAGACATGGAACAAAAGGAAGAAATAAACATCCAACTGGAACAGAATGAAGAAACAAGAATTCAAAAAAATGAGGAAAAGCTTCAGAACTTCTGGGACAACTTTAAGTGCTCTAATCTCCAAATCATAGGGATGCCGGAAGGAGAAAAGGAAACCAAGAAATTAAAAACTTATTTGAACAAATAATGAAAGAATACTTCCACAATCTAGCAAAGGAAATAGACTACCAGGAAGTCCAGGAAGCCCAGAGAGTCCCAGAGAAGTTGGACCCAAGGGGGAACACAACTAGGCACATCATAATTACATTATCCAAGATTAAAGATAAGGACAGAATCTTAGAAGCAACAAAAGAAAAGGAGACTGTTGCATACAAAGGAGTGCCCATAAGACTATCAGCTGATTTCTCAAAAGAAACCTTACAGGCAAGGAGGGGCTGGAAGGAATTATCTGAAGTCATGAAATGCAAGGACCTGCATCCAAGATAACTCCATCCAGCAAAGCTATTACTTAGAATGAAATGGCAGATAAAGTGCTTCCCAGATATGCTAAAGTTAAAGGAGTTCATCATCACCAAGACCTTATTATATAAAATGTTAAAAGGACTTATCTAAGAAATAAAAGAAGATCATAAACTATGAACAGTAAAATGACAACAAACTCACAACTATCAACAACTGAACCTAAAGAAAAACAAACTAAGCAAACAAGTGAAATAGGAACAGAATCACAGAAAGGGAGACCACATGGAAGGTTATCAGTGGGGAGGTGGAGGGAGGAGGATGGGGGAAAAGGCACAGAGAATAAGTATCATAAAAGGCAGGTACAAAATAGACAGGGGTAGGTTAAGAATAGTATAGGAAAAGGAGAAGCCAAAGAACTTTGTATGTACAACCCATAGACAGGAACTAAGAGTGGGAGTGTTGGGGACCACCCTGCCTGGTCTCAGGAAGCTGTAACCCCCTGTGACTTAGGCTGAGTGAAAAACCTCCGGACCAGGAGTCACTAAGGAGACAATACTTATTTCCCTGGCTTGAACGGCAGTCAATGACGGGTAACAATTCTCTTGGATAGAGAATGAACCTAAGACAGACGCATTCACGAAAGAAAACAGACTCACAGGGCTGTGGAAATGAAGGGGTGATCAGACATCAACCCCTGCCCCCTTTGGCTTTGTTAAAGCCTGAGTCTTTGCTCTTGGATGTGAGAAATCCAAGTCTCCTAGCTGCCTTTGTCTTGAGACCTGCAGGGGCAAAACAGCCCAGATCAGAAACAGTGGATCCCAGGGATAATCAGGCCTGGAACATAAAATATGCAAGATCCTGTGAGATCTGTTTGCTGAAGGATATTATTATCTTGGAATTTAAAAACACAGGCAGGAAACTTGGGGAAACTGTACCTCTTTCATATGTTAAAAACCCCAAAACTTGCCCGGAATCTCAGCAGGAGTTCTGTCCCCACCTTTGTAAGTTGTTTACATCTTTTGATCTTTTCTGCCAGACTGTGAATCCACAAACTAAGTCCGTTTTCTCAATAAAAATCTGCTTGGGGATGGACATGAGGTGCTCCCCACGTGAGGAGAGGCCATTCTGTTTCGATTCCCCCACAGGACCTGGTTGTCTCTGTGTATGTTTTTAGCATGTTTTGACGAGCATCCGCAGCCAAGATGGATACTGCAGGTCGGTTTCCTCCACATGGGAGTGGTGAATGCTGGTAGGAAGGATGATGCAGGGCAGAGGGGGATAAAAGATAAATAAAAATGGGACTACTATAATAGCATAATTAATAAAATATACTTTAAAAAGCATTGAAATTTTCATTGGTTCTAAGAGTTTGTGTGAAATTCTCTTATAAGTGTTATATTTGCAAGTATTATTAACCTGATTAAAAAGCAAGACAATTTTACCCAACAGATAAAACAGCTACAGTGCTTAAGGCATATGTTTATTTAATAAAAAAAAAACAAACCCTTTTTTTAGCTTTCTTATCCAAAACTTTCTTTTCTGTTTTCCTAGCCCTTTCAGGGAAACAGAGAGAGGGAGTGATGGAGGGAGGAAGAGAAAGAAAGAGAGAGAAACTAATTTAAAAGCAGATAATTCTACCATATAAAGCAAGGCTGTAATAATTATAATAATCAGGGATATTTTTTAAAGCCAGGATCACCTAACACCACTTTGGCCTTTCAATATCATTATTATAACCATACAATGCTGTTGGGAACCACCCTGCCTGATTTCAGAAACTGTAATCCCCTGTGGCTAAGGCTGAGTAAAGAGTCTTGGAACCATAAGCTACTAACAAGACAAAGCTTACCTTTGTTGTAGGGGGGCTACCTCTGCCCCCTTTCACTTCACCCAGCGTGGCCCCCGGGCAGGTGACTAGTTAGCCAATGACAGGTAAGATTCCTCAAAGGAGGGAGGACCTAAGACAGGCATGGTCTTGGAGGGACCCTAGGGAAGGACTTGGAGGGTTATAGAAAAAGGGGATGATGGACCCTCAGCCCTCAGCTTTGACATAGCCTTAGTCTCATTCTGTCTGCAAGAATCTCCTAATCCCTTGTCTGCCTTATTTCCCCTACCCAACTTAAACCTGAAACAATGCCTTAAGCCTGAAACAATGTCTGAGCTGGGCGAGGCCCTGTGCTGGAAAGGGCAGGTTCCCTGGGGTGATTAGGCCTAAGAAAGAATGCATAAAATCCTATGAAACCTACTTTGCTAATACCCTCAATTTAAATGATAAGGGTCCAAGCATGAAATTAGTTTGTTCCCCAAAGTTTTATGGCCCTTTAGCTATCTGACCCTGACTCAGAATAAGCCCTCAGAGTTCTTTGAATGTTATCTATTGTTTGATCATTACTGCCTGATAATGATTGATGTGTGTGTGTATATATATATATATATATACACCCTGTATTCCTATGCAAATTAAACCCAATAAAAGCCCATTGAGGAATGGACTCCTTGTCCTTCTCCTTTGAGAGATTGGCTACCTTTCCTCCCCAAGCAGATCATGTCTTGGTAGACTTATTCTCATCCATGGCAGCCAGG